AATCGTTCTTGTAGTGAAATGGCTGTGTTCCTAAAACTGTTCCCTAGAAGTCTTCTAATGTACATATCACAAAACACAAACCGATGGTTAGAGATGTTAAAAGAACAAAATAAACCTAGTGTTGAACCTACCGATTCCTCTAAAATAATGATAACTGTGGGGGCTCTGTTAGTCATGAGTTACAATTGAGTTTGAATCATCATCAGTGGCGTTACAGCTCTTTATGAGCCAAAGCCTTCTTCAGAACAATCCTCCATTCGCCCCTGTCTCTGGCAACTCTTCTCCATGCTCTAATTCCGATAGACTTCAAATCATTTTCTAGTTGTCTTGGTACCTAAGTCTCGGTCTTCCTCTTCTTCGTTGTCCGATCGGCCCTCTTCGGTCAAAAACTTTTCTGAGTATGGCATCTACCTCTCGTCTGATTACATGACCTATCCATCTGAGGCGTGCTATCTTAATGAATTTTACAGTGAGTTTGAATGAAGCATTGAAATCTGCGATTTGCATAGATAGATTTTTGATACTGTATCGAAGCGATACTTCAATAATCCAGTTATGACAACAGACTCTAGCAAAACTTGCTATATTAAAGAAGTTGTGACTTGTTTGAAACAAACTTTTATAAGTGGATGTTCCGATAGTGTTAATCAATGTGGCGATGGATCAATGGCTAAATTTAAAGGCAGCTCAGTTCTCAAACAATATATAACAGCAACAGTAAGCTGCAGTTGATACCTGTATGGACAATCGAGAATAGCTACCAGAATTTAGTAAAAGGCTGCAAGTACGTAATGAATAAATGCATTGCAGCAATTCGAGTTTATTAGCCCTCAAATGGAAGGATACTAAAGAAGTTGTTGTAATTAGTAATTGTCACAGAGCTGAAATTGGTTTAGTCGAAAGAAAAATAAAAGATGGTTCAAAAACTAATGTTTCTTGTCAACAGTCAGTTTTATTTTCCAATCAAAACATGGGCAGAGTCGATCTTGCAGATCAGCTGTGTGTGCTGAACGATATAGACAGAAAATCTAATAAATGGTGGATGAAGGTATTATATAAAAATACTTCTGACATCGGTGGCGAATTCTTTGATACTTTATAAGAAATACACCATAAAAAATTCCTCTTCTGCATTTTATTGTGCCATAGTCGAGCAGCTGATCATTTGTGGCAGACAAAATGCTTCCGTAAAAAAGACGCAGACTATATTGAAGGGGCCACTCGACGAAGATGCCACCGATGTCACAAAATGAAAAAAGAATTTTCTGTGTTTCCTCCTTTCATTGAGTTTTGCAACTACTGGGACATAATTATAATCTGGAGAGACATATAATATGTTCCATGGTGATATTCAAATTCAAATAGAAATTAAAAATTATTAGCATACATTAAAAATGCTTATGAATATTTTTTTCAAATTTTATAAATAAGAAAGTTTTTTAAGAAAGTAATACTTTGAGATCAACTAATGTTTCAAAAATTTAATAAGTGGCGCGGTATTAGGATTAGTGACCGTATTTCTGTTTATTTTTCAAACTATAGAAGATTTTTTTTAATCTCCCTATTTGGATAAGTAATATTTTTTATCAAGATAGAAATACACGTTATCTTAAATATTTGCTTTTGAAGAAAACTCTCCAAGCATTTAGGCAAACTTTTATTTTAGATATTTGGAGATGCAAGTAGTAGATTTAGAGAGAGAGATTATAATGAAATGAAGGAGGCGGATATCGTGTTGTGTGAAAATATTCCATTGAAACTAAAAGACAAATTCTATAAAGCTGCTATGAGACTAATTATGACGTAAAGCGAGAATGTTGGGCAACCGCAAAGAAAGATTAATGCATGTGACGGAAATGCTTAAATGGATGAGTGGAGTGATAAAAAAGTAATAATTGTTAATAATGAATTAATTAAGATATACTACGAGAAGTCCGGGTGTGATACAAATTGACGCCAAAACAAGAGACCGTAGGTTAAGCTATATAGAGTATGTTCAAAACTGAAATAATAATAAGACTAAATAATACCTGGAGATAGAAGCGTATCCAAATGTTAAGTGGAATAAACGGTGGTATTATCACCCTACGGAGGTTAGGGTCTTCACAGGAAACAACTCCATATCAGCTCCATAGACCCTCTACAGAGGACTTCGGTTTGTTTTAATTAGGCAGGATGGTAAAATAAAACTCGGTTTTGAATTAGAAAAACGTCCTAGCAAAAGAGTCTCAGGACAAGCAGGTAGCAGAGCCCCAAGGAGGCCCCCAGTAAAGACTGTAGTAAAGCTAGGCTTGACTATCTATGGCTTGGAAAATGCACCCTTTTTATACACTTTATTTCGTATCGATATGTGCACTTCCATTGTATGAGGTAGAAAGGCGGGGCGATGCGCATCGGAGTGCGTACTAGTCCTCAGACTATGGCACTCGATGATAGTATGATCCAAAATAGAAGCTTGTAGAGAGGTGTAATTAAGGAAATCAGCTCCACATAAAAATAAAGGCAAAGAGACAAAAACAAAGTGTTGCACTTAAACTAGTTTCAGATAATTGTATTTCAGGTAACAGTAATTGAATTGTTTCACAGGTTGATGTCATGTGACATCGTCGTGTTGAAACCACATGTCATCTGTATCTCATTATAATCCAATTTAGGCAGAAATAAGTTCGTAAATTATAATAACCGCAACATAATAACAGAGTAACTCTGTTATTATGTTGCGATATCGAGAATTTGCAAAGAAGTATCGGCCAATGCTAAATAAATATCATATGATAAAGATGGAAATAGCATCACCAAAAGAAATGAATTACTAAAGGTAGTAGAAGATTTCTATACAAAATTTTACAGAAGTCAACAAAAACCATGATGAGAAACTAAAAAATTCAGGAAAAAAATTAGTCAACCAAGAATCGTAATTGATGCCTGATGTATCAACAGACGAAATAAGATAAATATTAGTCAACCAAGGATCGTAATTGATGCCTGATACATCCACAGACGAAATAAGGAACGCACTGAAGAAAATAAAAAGAAACAAAGTGCTGGGAGAAGATAATATCGTTATAGATGCCGCAAAGATTGGAGAAGACAAACTTTTAGAAAATATAAAGAAATTTGGTTTTTGTTGTCAATGTTCATCCCTCTCTAGTTTTCCTTTTACTGTTTTTAAAGTTTTCTCTAATGTGGTGAAAAGACTGGTCATGAATTATTGTTTTCTTGTTCTATGTTGAATTTTATTTATTCTTCTTTATTGTCGATTTCCATCAGAAATTTATTCGATGTTTGTGGTCCGTGAGACCAAATGGAGAATACATCATCTACATATCTCCACCATACATTGGGTTGTTTGTCTTGTTTGGGAACAATGTGTTATTCAAAATCCTAAGTGAATATATCTACTAATAATGGAGATAAGGATGAGCCCATGGCTAATCCGAAATTTTGCTTATAGAAACCATTATCTAGTTGAAATTGTTAACTATGCAAAGTGTTGCTACGATAACTAATACATTCAATTTGGTTTTTGTTGTCAATATATCATCCCTCTCTAGTTTGCCTTTTATTATTTTTAAAGTTTTCTCCAATGTGGTGAAAAGACTGGTCATATCAAAACTGACTAGCATATTGTTGGAATTGTAATGTATTTCTGCTAGCTTTTGCAAGAACTGCTGTAAGTTTTTGATAAAATATATGATATTGTGTGCTAGAGGCTGTATTATGCCTAGGAGAAACTTTGACAGTCTGCTGCAAGGAGAATTCATGCTGCTGAAAATCGGTTTGAGGAGTACATTTTCCTTGTAAATTTTTGGAACTCCGTATAAGTGTGGTGACTTTCTGTGAATGATCTTCTTTGGTAGTTTGTCAGATATTCCTTAAATTTGTGCAGGGTTTTATATATTTTGTTTTCCAGTTTCCACTACCATCGTAATATCAGGACTAGATGTTCTGCCAAGTAGGTATGTCGGACTCATATATTACCATACCATGTAAAAACCACCTCCTTCTTCTGCCTCTGTTTCCAACGCGGAACCACCTTAACCACCACCCACTTCACAGGGGAGGATCTAGCTATTGCTCTTCATCCAGGAAGACAAAGTTATTGCTTCTCTCAATCTAACTGTCTTCACCTGTTGTAGAAGACAATTCGTCCACCTGCCCTTGTTGCGGACTACCACTGCATTTGCCATTGACGCATGCTGTTTTGAATTCATCAAATCACTATGTAGTTGTAGTTGCACCTCTTCGCCAATAAAGGGTCTGCCTTTTTTTAGCTAGCACTCGGCGATGACATACACCGCGTCCTCACATACTGTGAGGAATGCAGTGGTAACTCTTAAGGCACTTCAGACGATATACTGATGCGACCTTCCTCTTCTGAGAGTATCAGCGCAATTGGATATTTCATATGTTAAAACTGACGTGACTAGTGACGACAGTAATACCCTCTTAATTTGTTTTGGGCCACCTACGTGATAAGGCTGTTCTCACTACTGACGCTGCTTTAAGTTGAGTAGGGCATCGATCATCACTTTCAAGTACCGAATGTAGATATACGTGTATTGTGTGATGCGCGTGCGCAAGAAACATTAAAATCTCACGATGAAAGAAGAGAGAATGGAAGAATGCAGCGAGAATGTTATAGTACTAGAATAGTAGAGTAAATGCAATCTAATGCGTAAGCGGAGAGGAACGTGATGAAATATTATTACATACTATGGCATCGGACGGTATCTTTTGAAGACTTTCTTTTATCGTATTGCAAAATGTATTTCTTAAAAAAACATTAATAAAAATATTTATAACATAAATTAATAATTAAACAAATATCTATATCACCTAACACATAAAAAATATTTCAAACTACACATGCAAGATCTGTTAAAAATTGCCATTAACCACATTAGTGCTTGCAGCAATAGAAGAAAGCAAATAAGTTTTACAGTTAGAAATACTTGTTGCACATATAAAACATGCTGATAATTTCAAAATATAATTACCTTCGCTGAAGACAGCTGAACAGATCATCATTTTTTTCTTCACTCCAACAACATGGAATTCTATTCAGAAGTTTAAGACGAGTACTGTAAGACACTTCTGGAAAGAACTCATTTACCAAAGTATTGGGTGCCATGTCTTTAAAAGCTTCCTGAATAAACCAGTGTTGCCGCATTGCAATTTTTATATGGTCTCTATTACAATCTTTGAGAACTTGAATTAATTGTTCAGTTTTTTTGAAATAGACAATAGCATGTACATAAAAAAGTTTTTGTTGGTATGATTTAGGATTTAAATTATCTATTACATAGTCTATTTCTGTTGGTGTTAACTTTTGGGAGGCAGTTTTGAGAAGAGTGAAAAAACTTTTTTTTCTTTCACATATCAAATCGCCATCTAAGTTGTGGAATTTTGTTATAACGTCCTCTGGAGTTGAAAGTTCCATTTTTCTCTGTAAATTAGAACACTGAATTTAATTAAACTAAAAAACATATTTTCCAAATCATAAAATAGTTGAAAACTATTTTCCCATTGATTAGTTTATATACGAAATGTTCAGAACCATAATGGATTAAGTCCACTTTTTAAGAAAATTAAGTTAGCAGTGTAGGTACATATCTATGTTCTACAAATAGAAATCTTTTCAGTGCTATAAAAAACTACATCCAAAGTTATCGCAATAATAAACACATGGCGTTAGTTTACTATGTCTCTGAACATTGTGTCATATTATTTTGGGACAGAGTGGATTAAGTCCAGTTGACTAGTCAGATTGTGCTCAGTGTATATAGTACTCGTGATCGTGTATGATTAAAAATGGATTCAAATGACAACATTAGTAATTTAACTGCATCATCATCATCATTGGTGCTACAGTCCTATAAAAGAGCTTCAACCTTCCCAAGTCTATTACGCTACCATTGATCCATTACGCAGTTCGATCCATTGCCAGTTTGCTGCGCCTATCTTTCTACCATCCCTCATCTACACCATCCTCCTTTTGAGCTTTGGCCTACCCCTACTTCTACTTCCCACAGGTTGTGACATAAAGATTCTTCTAGGAGGGTTGTTCTGCTGTGATCTTGCCAGATGTCCTGGCCATCTTAGTCTTCGTATTTTTATAAGAGATACTACATCTTTACCACCAAATATATTTTATATCTGTGATATATCTCATAGTTGGAGGTCCTTCTCCAAACACCATTTTCACAGATTCACCAAATATTCTCCTCAGGATCCTTCGTTCAAATATAAGCAGGAGGTTTTCATCTGCCTTGGAAATGGTCCATGTCTCCAATCCATATGTCAACACTGGTTGTATAAGGATTTTTTATAGGGTTATTTTTGGTTTTTGGCTTAAGTTTCTGCTACTCATATGTCTACTCAATCCAAAATAGCATTTGTTTGCTAGGATTATTCTTCGCTTGATTTCTTCCGTCATGACGTTCTCCTTGGTGATCAGGGAGCCTAAGTATGTGCATTTGTCCACCACTTCAAATGTAGAGTTGTCAACAGTAAATTGGTGGCTGATGTTTTTGGCTCTATTGTTGGGTGTTGATGCCATTATCTCAGTTTTCTCCTGATTTACTTGCAGACCCATATTTTTTGAGGCATTTGACAAGGTGGTATACATTTCTTCTAGTTTGCATGTTGTGCGGGCAACTAGGTTAACATCATCTGCATATACCAAAATTTGCAATGATTTATTAAAATTGTTTCCTCTGTTGTCTATTTGGGCATCCCTGACCGCCTTTATCAGAGCTATGTTGAAAAGGAGACACGCCAGAGCATCTCCCTGTCACAGCCCAACATGAGTTCAAATGCCTGTGATTGTTCGCCCTGTATTTCGACTTTGCAAACAACTTTACGCATTGTAGCCTTAACCAATCTCATGGGACATGTTGCCTCTCCTCCCATATCTGCCACCAGTCACACTATCATTTTTAAAATCTCTGCATCAACACAGGAATCTATTCATGAATCCAGCAACAGGGTGAAGAAGACTACATAGACGATCATGAACTGGCCTATAATGATTAAAACTAATGCCACTTAAGCTATGAGAGTATTATTAAACATTGTTATAATAGGTTTTTTATTTGTTATTATTTTTTGTAACTAAAATTCCAGTTTTGTCATACTTCGCTTTTTAATCCATTTTTTTACACCAAATATTTCAGAGTAATAATGGATCAAGTCCAATTTTTCTCAAGAGTCTCCAATTATTTCCAAAAAGGTTATTTACTTAATATTACACATAGTTTAATTATTTAAACTACATATTATATAAGAGGTTTTCACTTAGATTCGGTTCTTTGGTGTATTATGTAATAATGGATAGCTTGTTAGCTTTAACTCGTAAATATCTCTAACTTATGTATTATGGACATGATCTACTATGGTTCTGAAGGCCTCATACATTATTGTTAAAAAAAAAATAGTATTAGTAGAGAAATGTTCTGAAAAATGAACTGTTTGAGTATAACGGCTATAAAAAATATTGAATATAATTTGAATGACTACATGCTTAAATAATCTACAAATGTCCATAAATGGTGCTTGAGAAACTCTCCTAGTATATTCTGGACATAATTACAAACCAATGTTTTTATGTGACATGTATGACAAAATTCACTGTTTGTATTTTGAGAACGATTTCCGAAGTGGAAATTGAAACGTCAATAAACGTATTTTTATCTTTAATTGTGGCTCATTCCCAGTTTAACAGTAATTAATTTACAATGCCACAAGAAAATAGCTTCAGAACAATATGTATGACAAAAGTCATGAAATTTTAAACAATTTAATCAGCTGAGTATATGTTTTAGAGACATTGTGCAGTTGAAAATTGGTCTGCTCATTCCATCTTGTTGCATACATTGATTCAAAATCTTCATTGTTTGATTTAAAACATTTGTCCTCTTTATTATTTCTCCTATGACATCATCGATGAAAATAAATGGCCAAACACTTGTTGGATTTTGATCTACCAACAATTTTACAGAGCCTCTAAGACTAGGCAAATGCCTTACCAACTAAATTGCTTGGATTTTGCTGCTCGTTTTCTATGTAGGCTGTACCAACCATTTGTATCGTTTTCTCCCATAAAACAACCTTCTCACACCATCTTCTGAATCCAGTTCTTGCTCAGTGTGTTCACCATCAGTACTATTTTATTTTTTCTCAATAACAGACTATTGCGTATTTTGTTCAGATTCTGAAACATTTTATTCACTATTTATCCGTCGTATCATCATCAACTTCTATATCTTGATCATTGCCAACTATGTTGCCTTCCAATTCATCGCCATTGCGATACTCATTGTATTTTTCATTTTCATCACGATATTTAAATTTTTGCTTGTACTTTCAATTTCTCTTCTAAAAAAAAGTTATGAAAGTATTGCATTCATGGTGATGTGAGGTAGCTGAGGTATCCTTAGGTGTCCAGTATCAAGAATATAAGAGCATATCTGTACTTGACTTTTGCACTGTTCACAGAAGACTGATAATATAATACATAATTACATATCTTGAAGTTCGTGTGTGTTGTTAAATACACCAGTTGAGAGTAGAACTGAATCATTGATATTTTATTTACATTATATCATTTATATTATATTTTTATTATTTAACATATATTTTATTTAACAAAACATAAATTGCTACTAGTGTAATAAGCCGGAACCATGTTTGCGGAGATGAAATTTATTTACCCATAAACCCATAAGGTAGTTAAACTTAGTTAAAATTTAATTTAGTTTAATTAGTTAAACAGATATAGTTCTGAAGGTGTTAGGAACTTTATAAATTATGAAGTATTACTTAATTTGTCATAGAATATTTGTTAAGACATACCTTTTTAGAATCTGAATCTGACATACTATTTTTCCACTGAACTGAAACTTTTAAATAAATTAAAACTGTTGTTGAATTTGGTAATTCAATATTTCACAATATTAACAAACATAATTGTTGTAAAAACCATAGAGATTATGGAAACACAGTATATTTACTTAAAATTTTATTAAGCAACACTACCGGTCAAATTATTGAAACAATGAACATTAAAGTTTAATTTGAAGAACTAAAAAAATATCAATATTTTTTTTATATAAATTCTTCAATTTTCAATTTTATCCGATCTATTTCTAATATTCTATTTCTATATGTCAATGTCAATGTCAAGTCAAACTACCTATCTGAAATTAGCAATAATTTATAAATTTTTTCTGATTTATTATAGTTCCCAATGACGTATTTATTGTTATGATAGTTCCAGTGATATGTAATTTTCCATGGAGAGTGGCATTCTGATTGTTTATTATTCTGTGCTCATGCTGTGTTCCTGTTTTTAGTTGGTTATTATAGTCAAGGTCGGACGACTTCAAAATTATTAGGGTTTCAAAATATATCTTAATAAAATAAAATAATTAAACATCCCATATTATTGGGAGGCTACGAGGAAATATCTTCCTCAAATATGATATCTGCACTATTTGAAGTCGTGGTATGCCAGGTTCTGTTGGTTGGTGTGAACTGGTAATAAAATTTTAAATTTTCGGTGCGTCTGGGGAGTTTTTGTGTTTTGTAGTGTATAGAATCACATCCTTTTTAGGTACAGACTATCTTCTTTACATTTAAAGTTAATCGGCTGTTTTTTAAATTTAGATTGCGTCCCTAAATATTCGTGGATAGTAGTACAGTTTACAGTATTCGCCAAAATGCGAAAACAGTAGGCACCTTCCTACCGAATAAGCCAACATTTTATTTATTTTTTAATTTAAATATTTAAAATGTTTACCAATATGGCACAAACAAGCTTCATAACGATTTTGAAGATTATTTAACATATCTATTTATAAAGAGTGATTGCTGCAGTTATTGAAAACAGACTATTATCTTTTGTCATAATTTTCCAATATCTGCTATTAATCACTAGCCTTAAATTTGGTTCTGTAATTATTTCTATCGCTTGTTGTAAATATTACAGCAGTTTACAAAAGAAATATGGACACAGCAATCCCTCCCCAATGATTGGAATACTTTGCACAGAATTACGCTTCTAAATGCAGCGTATAAAATGTTTTCCACAGTAATATGTCACCGTACGGAACCATAAGTAGAACAAATAATAGTACGAAAATACCAGGTTGGTTTCAGAGGTGGTAAATAGACAATTCATCCGATTGCAACCCTGAAACAAATTTTGGAAAAACCACTGGAATATGGCATTGATACTCATCACATATTTATATACTACAAAGAAGCCTACTACTCTGTGAATAGAAGAGAAATATTCAAAGCAATGAAGGAGCTAGGAATACCAAATCAGTTGGTAAATTTAACAAAACTAACTCTTGAACAACTTAAATATAGAGTACGAATTCAGGGAGAACTGTCTGAACCTTTTAAAACAAATAAAGGGCTGCGCCAGAGAGACCCTCTCTCCTGTATACTGTTCAATCTGGCTCTGGAAAAAGTAATACTGTAACATTTTTTTTATATGATTAAAATATTAATTATTTTTATTCCCTTTACCTCCGTTGCTGATACGCCCATGGTCGTTTTCGCAAATGGATTGTTAATTTTTATTGGACCTACCAAAATATCACGGAATTTCTCTGAGTACGAAAGGTTTTTAATCCTCCCCTTTGTAATCCTGAGAATGACAGGAATTAAATCTTTCCGGCTTTAAGGCCGGGTTCCTTTTGATAGATTTCGGAAATATCGCCGAAGGCACGTATAGTAATTTTTCTGAAGAGAACGTAATTCAGAAGATTTTATCAGGGGAGATCAGGAGAAGAATCTTTTCTTTTTTTGTGTAGTTTGGTAAATATGGGAGAAGAAAGACTTCTGAGTGGGCACTCGTTGAGTAAAAAGGTACTTCTCATGGGGCGCTTCGCCATATCTTACCGTCTCTGTGTTACCTTATCAAGTCATTTTCTTTCTAAGTATGTATACACTTATATATTTGAGTTTTTTTGATCTAATATTATATTAGATTAAATATTGATATAGAGTACCTTTAATTTTAATTAACTTCAGTGCTGGATACAAGTAAAGTATTATAATAAAGTAAATTAACTTCAGTGAATTAGTGCAGCAGTCATCAGAAATTACTGTAAGTTACCATAATCTTAGTATCTCCACTTATCTGGCGAATAATATGGTATGGTATCATATTATCTGCAATCATCTGGGGCAATCAAAATTAATCCATGTCTTCACCTGTAGTTGAGAGTAACTACTGATTTTTGTATTCAATTTAAAGAACATTCAATATTTTCTTACGAACTTTCCATCAGTTACTAAGAAATTTCAATAAACAATAATTACGAACATTTAGTTCTCGATCATTAAATAACAGTGCGAGATAGATAATTAACTACGACCAAGTGCGGTTTGGTTACATTTTTATTTCTGTAACGTTTTTGTATTGTTGTAAATTTAGATTTGATTAATTTTTGTTATTTGCTATAATTGTTATACATTTTTAACCCAGTATCTCGAGGTATGCCCATTAAACAGCAAAGAGAGCCTTTCTTTAATCAACTTTGGTTGAGTGTTTTTCTTACTCAGCATTAGACTCTCTTCGCTGATAATTGAACCTGTGCATTATTATATTGTTGTATTTGTAAAGGTACTTATTTTTCATATTACTGCTTATTTTTATATGTATACCACCATTTTATAATTGATGGTGTATTTTTATCTTGTGTGTACATTCAGCTACCGATATCATTGTGTTGTTGAATATATTGTTTTTGTTTTATGTATGCATTTTATTTGTCGACTGCTAACAAGTTCCCTGATATAACAATAACTCTGAATATTTGCTTTTTACCTTCAAATATTACTATACCTTTGACCAGGAGAAAGAGCAGGCTGATTAAGTTTCGTAGGTAAGTAGGTGTAATACCTAATATATTTATTATTTGTTTATGTAGTCTGTTGACCAAATTTATTTAATAATTAACTGTTAATATATTTTCTTAAGTTTGATCTCTGAACCTAAATATCTTTCCTTGCCTCTTTTCTTTTCTAAAGTTTCTTAATTTTCTCCTTAAACCCCAAAAAATTGAGTGGCGCCCTGTTTCTATTTTATCGTATCTTTGGTAATTTTACCCATCTTTGTTTTTGTTTATTTCTGTATCTTTTCTAATATATCTTATCTTGTTCTTCTTCTTCTTCGTCTAGCCATTCACGTCCACATCTGAACATAAGCCTCTTCAAGTCTTCCTTTCCATTGTTTTTTATTGTACGCTACTTGTAGCCAATTTTTCCCGGCAATCCTTTTTAGATCATCTGCCCATCTCATAGAAGGTCTTCCCCTGGGTCTTTTGTGTTGGTATGGTCTCCAGGTGAAAATTGATTTGTGCTATTTGTTTAGATCGCTCCCAGCTACATGTCCAGCGCATTCCCATTTGAACTTTAATGATTTTTGCACCACATCGGTGACTTTGGTTTTCTGTCTTATCCATGTGTATGTTTTCTTGTCCTTAGGTGATATACCTAGCATTGCTCTTTCCATCGCGTGTTGAGTGACTCTAAGTATATTCATATTCTTTTTTGTGATTGTCCACGTTTGTGCCGCATTAGTTAATATCGGAATAATGCATACATCAAAAACTTTACATCTAAGATGTAATTGAATTTGTTGATTTCTGAGTACATAGTTTAGTTTACCGAATGCTGCTCAAGCTAACTCTATTCTTCTTTTTATTTCTTCAGTTTGAATTTTCTTATTTAGTATTATTTTTTGTCCTAAGTATATATATTCTTCAACTTTTTCTATAACTTTATCGTTTATTATTGTCACGGTGTCTTCGGAGTGCATGACTTTTGTTTTGTTTAAATTCATTTTCAGTCCTATTTTAGAAGATTCGGTATGTAGTTCTAAAAGCATGGTTTGCATTTCTTGTAGGTAAGTAGCTATCAGGATTATGTCATCTGCAAATCGTAGATTACTGAGGTAGCGGCCATTGATGTTTATTCCCTTATATTTCCAATTTAGGTTTTTAAAAAAGGTCCTCCAAAACTAAGGTGAACAGTTTGGGTGATAAAGTATCTCCCTGCTTGACTCCCCTGTTTAATGGTACAGGGTTCGAGTGTTCATTTTCATTTAGATAGTATGTAGCTGTAGCTTGGTTCATAGTTTCTTTTATTAAGTTAATATATTTGCTGTCTATTCTACAATTTTGCATTGCGTTTATTCCGGCCGTGTGTTCTATGGTATCGAAAGCTTTTTCGTAGTCTACAAATGCTAGGAAAACTGGAAACTTGTATTCGTTACATTTTTCTATTAATATTTTTGTGGTTAACATGTGATCGGAAGTTGAATAGCCTTTTCTAAAACCTGCCTGTTCATATGGTTGGTATTCGTCTAATTTCCTTGTTAGTCGAGTAGTTATGACTTTGGTGAGTATTTTAAACAGGTGTGACAGTAGGCTGATGGGTCTGTAGTTTTCCAATTTTCGACTATCACCTTTCTTGTGTAATAAGATTACTTTAGAGTTGTTCCAGCTCTTAGGGACTTTGTCCTGATATAAACAACTGTCCACAAGCTTAGTTACAATTGCAATTAGTTCCTTACCTCCTTCTAATATCATATCTGTGGTAATACTATCATCATCTTGTTGATGTGTTCTGTAAAGTTCTGTGTAAATTTTTTCTATTCGTGTCAGTATGTTTTCTCTAGTTGTGATTTCATTTTCGTCTTTTCCCATTAATGATATCATCTGACGTCGTCCTAGTGTCGGTCTGAGGCATTTCATACTCTTATTTTTTTCAATAGTTGTTGTTATTAATTTTTCGTTTTCTTTTCTTTTTTGTTGTCTGATTCCTTTTCTAATCTGCCTATTAAGTTCTCTATATTCGTCGGTTCCCCTTTTGATAGATTTATTTAAGATCTTCCTTCTTTCTATTTGTTGTAATATTTCTTTGTCTAATTCATTGTATGTTGTTTTTGGTTTTTTCAGTTGCAGAAGGCTTTTATTCACTGTTTCGGTAATAAGGTTATTCAAATCATCAATATCATTGGAGTTCATCTGCTGCATGCTAACTTGATTTAATGCATGCACTATCTTTTTATTAAATTCACTATTTTTGATTTCTTCAGATGTCCATTTGTATCTTTTTTTTATGTATTCT